TACACAAAGAGAAAAATTATTGGTAAGAAGAAAACTTTGGGAATATTTTATCATATTCTTTTCATAGCAAGAATAAGGTCTGTTCTCTTTCCAAGCTAGCTAAACTAAATTTCTCATTTTTATTTACCTTCTACATTGGATTCCCCCATAGTACTTTATTTAAAGGAAGGATTCATGAGACCAGCAGATGGCATAATGGTTACATTGCTGGACTCCTAGGTAGTCGTCCATGGTTTGGGATTGGGACCTGTTGGCTTAAAACTCACGGGGTGGGAGTGGGGGGCAGTGGGTGGTGTGGTGTTTAAGGCACTGGACACTTACATATGGGTGATCATGGTTCGAGTCCCAGACTTAGTGGGTTGCTTTCCCACTTTCCATCTCTCTCTTTCTCTGTGTCTCTCTGGTTGAATTAAAATAAATGAATGAGAAAACAACAACAACAAACTCACACTTGTTGCCTTTGCATGCATGCCCAAAATCTTGAGAGGAAAATGGAGAAGAAGGGATTGTGGTATGGCCATCTACCCTGGGGAGTGATTTCTCCCTTTTTGTCTCTCTGTCTCTGTCTCTCTGATGAGCACATGCACCCTACAGCTGAAATCTCTCTTACAAAAAAGAAGACTGGCTCATGGCAAAAGTGAACATTTTAAATGTTTTATTCCTTATTCAACTATAGATATTGCAGTAGATTTTTTTTAATGTATAAAATTTCAACAACAAAGAGATTAAAAGAGAACTTCTCAACAAAATTATAGAAGCAGAAAGTAAAATGAAAATAACAGATAATTAATTAAGAAGAGCTTAAAAAAAAAAAAAAAGAATCTTTCCTGGGCAGTGTAGGAAACTAAGAACTGACCAGTGATATCACAGAATTCTCAGAGGGCATGGGAATCAGCTACATGAAGTACATCAATAGCTAGTAGTATAGAAAGAAACAAAAAATGAGGAAGATTTATTAAATGTAGCTTGACAAAAATAGATTCCTATAGTTGTTCTTTCTGTTGACCCCTGGGAGCCTCCTTTCTGTCAACTCAACAAAGTTCTAGGGAATTATTCTCAAAAAAGGAAAAAAAAAAAAAAAAAAGGGACTCCTGGTTGGAGAAAGTCGGGTCCAGTTGAAAGACAGGGTTTTAAACTTAAAACAAGATGATTAAATCATCTTAGCCCTTCTAAATGCAGAATGCAGATATCTCAACTCTAACTGCAAGTTAGGGAATATTGAAACTGAGTGCCTCAGTCTCTAGGCAGGAAATTAAAAGACATTTATCAGGAGACTCCACCCAACTCAAAAGGAAAGATCCAAAGATAGGGACATTTCCAAGGATTCTTCAACAAGTACTCGACCACAGTTAATATGGGTATCGCTCAAATTAGACAAATATTCTCTCCCATCCTGATGTGAACATAGAGCTTCCAGATCAGAATTAAGCTCCCTTTTCTTCACCACAGAATGGTTGCTAAGAATGAACAAACATCTGAAGAAAACCTCCAAAATACAAGAAAAAATGCAAATAAGCAAACAGAAAAACACAACTTTTTAGGAAGAAGAGAACATCAAATATTGCTTCTAGTTTCTTCAGAGATACAAGAGAAGATGTCACAGCCATAAAATCAAAACCCATAATAATTAAAAGGTTATCAAAAGTGGAAGATTAAACACCGTTCCTGCAAGATAGAGACAACAGAAATAAGAAATAGAGGAGGAAAGATAAATTTAGATTAAAAAATTACAGAACTCTAATGTTATATGAAGATCTGTTTAGGGTGAACAGAGAAAGCAAGAGTGAAGGGGCAGAGTGGGGTCATCAAATAAGTCAGCAACTTTTCCTGAAAATATACAGCAGGAGCAAAAGTGAGAAATTCAACAAGAACCAACACAGTGGATGAAAGCAGACCTGTGCCCATGACTGGGGATCATGATTCAGGATGCTAAAGACAAAGAGGAGATCATTCAAATTTTTAAAAAGTTCATTTTTTAAAATCCCACATAAAAATAGTCTTGGATCAGAAAGTATTCAGATTTTCAACAGTAGCTGGACATTAACAAGAATAGAATGTCTTGAAATTAATCTAGGAAAATAATTTTCAACTTAGAATTCATGCTATACCTAGCAAAATTAATATTTATTATGACAGACTAAGAACATCTGTAGATATGTCTCAAAAAACAGGTATCTCAGGTGCTCCTTCTCTAGATGCCACCAAAACTAAAGAGTAAATTAAGAAAAGGGAGAACACATATTAGAAGCAACCCGATAGACAGAGGGAATCCTTAGAAGGTGAGAGAAGGGAAGAATCTTGCAATGATCCTTGTGCTGTAGACACAGTGCACCACCCACTAGTGCGCATTGGAGCAGTGTGACTCAGATCACGGACACACTCAGGATAGTTATGACCAAAATCCTCACTGCCATTGTACTCTCTCTGAAACGAAGACACATTTCCCAAGGGGGCCTCACCTGTGTTGTTATTACCACGTTGCTTGCCTGGGTCACACACTGATGAGTTCCTCCTGAATTTTTCATGCCCTAGTCTCTAGAAAAGTTAGGTAAGCGTTTTCTTAATGAATGCATTTTCAGTTAATTTACAAACCAAAGCTGGAGATGAATCACACTAAGCCTAGACTTAGAATGTATGGAACAGCCCACTCTGTCTGAATAATTTTACAGTCAGATGCCATGATTGTACATATGTGTGGTGTCCACTCTTCTGTATGTTATAGTTCATAAAAGACACTAAAAAGAATTGTTGTGCAAAAATATTTGACATCCTTAGTACTTAGTACATTACACATTGAACAGCAACAAGGAACTTACTTTTAAAATATTACTGAGTTGCAAAATATTTGAAGCATTGCAATCAATAAAATACCCTCGACCGTTTTGCGTTTGTATATATTTGTAAAATAGAATATCTCTCTAGTTCTTCCATAGAGTCTGCATTAGTCAGTTGTAAACATGAATATTTCTGTGGTGTTCTCATAGCTGATGGAGTTAGTTAATTGTGGTACATATGAACATATCTCTTTGGTGTTCCCATTGTGGTTTGGGTGATTCAGTTGTGATAGATATAAACATTAATCCCCGGTGTTCTCTTCCTGGTAGGATTATTTAGCTGTGGTACATGTGCCTTCATTGACGACCAGGAGTCGCTGGTTGTGCTGCTAACTACAACAGGTAGGTTCTCCCGCTCTCCTTGCAATTTGAATGTTACTCTAGAGAACAATGCTTACTCCATTAAGTTGCCTTCCCAGAGGGGGGAAAAGTCTCCCATTCACTAAAACTTATTTTGAAAGTAATTGGAATTTTATTGTAATTAAAATTAATATCTCATGTGTATAAACACCTAATGAATTGGGAAATAACTGTTTTGGCAATAATGTAGACATAGTTTCAGAAATATTAAAAACTAATATATATGCTGTTTATATATTGTGTGTTTCATACAGTTTAGAGGCATTAAGCTTTTTATACTTTGCAAAATTAATTAATTTAATACTTTAATAATATAATTTTCAAATATTACCAAACATCTAAATGTTTCCCAATTACTTAGTTGTCATTTCCTGCCTATTATCTAAGATTGTTTAATATAATAAAAATTGATTTTAATGAGCGCTTTAAAGCCAAATTAGAATCTGATCGACAAAAAGCATAATATTATACAAAAAATGAACATTTATATGTGGTATATAATTTGAGGCTATTTACCACTAAAACCAAGGCTGAGATGTCAGCAGTGTTTTGCATAAATCTAAAATTGTGTTTGGAAATAAAACTTATCATTGAAATATGAATTTTGCTTAAAATGATCATCACTTTAGAAATTTAGAAAGCACTTGAGCAATTAGTTTTTCATTTAATTTAGATATTAGGCAGTTTGATTATGTAACTTTTGTGAGTTTAAAGAAATTATTCATGAAACTTCTTTTTCATTTATTTTCTGTCAGCGATGCTGATTATGATTGCTTTACTTAGTAAAGTATATGTTATAATTTATCATTTTAGAAAGGTTCTATTAGGATGTTAATATCTAAACCATATCATTACTAATTGTTGAGACTATTCCTTTCATTTTAACTAAATCATATTGACTTATCAAATGCACAAGGAATGTTTCAATTAGATATGAGTAGCACCTAAAATAAAATATCAGCAATCACTACACAGTCCTATACAACCCAATAAACATAGTCAATATCTACTCATAGAAGGGATAAAGTCATGATGGTCACCTTTAGAATTGCTATTTTTCTTATTTTAACTGCCTCAAGCCTAAAGATTACATCAGATAACTCAATCCAGCTTTTCCTAGGTCTTACAGCTCTTCCCCAAGCTTTTTCTCCTTTTCTTTGGGTAGTTGGGAAGTGTGCATTCTCATTGACCTAGAGAGTTAAGGATATGTTCATTCCCACAATACAAAGAGTAGATAGGGCATTCAATTACACAAACAAGAGAAAAATCAAAGCCAAAACTGAAAGTAAAATGGACATAATTTTAATGATTTTTTTTTTAATTTTGTGCATTGGATTCAAACAGCAAACTGTGTGCACTCAACTGTTATCACAATGTTGTTAAGAGGTCTGTGTCTTTTACCATTTTACACACAATTGTTCATTACAGTATGTTATCAGCCTCGTGGAAACCAGGGGTGTGGCATGGTAAGCAGTGGTGGTAGTGCACCTAGCTTTTATATTATCTTACTTGAAAATATTTCTCTTCTATGATTCCTTTTTTCTTGATAAAAATAGTTTTCACCAAACGTTGGTGGTGCACACGCACTACCAGTCATGCTTGACATCACACCCCTGACAGGAACACATGTTCTTATTTTGTTGATAAAAAGTATTACAAAAATTTCCATACAAAAACTATTTTCATAGAAATCTTGCATTTCCACAAATAAACCTGAACATTTTTTTTGAAAAAAAAACTGCTCAAGAATTTTGTTCATTTAACATTGTGACTGTATTGATAAATGCAGTCCACTTCAAAGTTCTCTCATACACTTTTTTATAGATGATCAGTCCCCTTTCTCCTATCACCAAGATCTGCCCAGGCTCCCTCAAGTTCATCGATAGCAGGAACGTGGGTTTGGTTTGACATATCTGAATGGTATAATGAAAGCTTCAGCCTTCCACATAACCATCAATACTCAGCCCTCTTTTACAACTTAAGACAAAGATTGCAAAACATCATCCTTTTAATTTGAAATCATTGAACCAACTGTTGCTTTTTTATTTGTGACATAGGGTTAGGGAAAGGGTATCAGGGGAGATAGGTAGGGGTCTGGTAGAGTTGCATGTTAAATCTCCTGCCTTGTTAAGTTTAAGAAAAACATTATTGCCTTGATAATTGTCATTTCTATCTTGATCAGTGACACAGACTGTCAAAACAAAAAAAAAAGAGAGAGAGAGAGGAAAAAGAAAAGAAACCAGTGAAGATCTGCTTTATACTCCATTTGCCATGGAATTCCAATTTGTTTTGCATTACGCTTTTTTTCACATCCTATAAACACACATTGTCTATTCAGATGATAATTATACTGAATAGTTGGGGCTAGTAACATCATCACCTCTATTATCTGGGTGTTCAGAAGACTGTACTGCTTCTTGTAACACTACAGTTTTTGCTGATTCCAAGTATTTTATTCTTAATAACTTGTTTTATTGGTTACCCTGTTGAGCAATGATATTCCATCTGCTGGCAACAGTTGGGCTTCAAAAGGAACTTGTAATTTCTCACTGGACTGCATTTGAAACCAGCCACAAAATGAGCATGTAACATTCACTCAGAAGAAGGGAGGAACCCATGATAAACAGTGTAACCCCGTGTAACTTGGTTGATCCATGATGCTTGTAAATCAAGTCTGATCACTGCAACTGCTTAGATCACAGAGTCTCTAGTTCATAGACACAGCGGCATGAGGTAACTCATTTTATTTTGCACAGGTTGCATATTTCCACAGGAAACATTCTCGCTAAATTGTTTGGAAAAAAGACGACAGTTTGTGCTTGGGTGTTTGGCCTCCCAGCTTTATGCCATGGTTTCTTTACCTGGCAACCTTCTGTCGTTAAATGTGTGCATGTTGATAACTTCTTCTGTTTTCACAATAACTGGGGCCTGTGGCTTATGTTTTAACCGACGCTGGCACTTCAGGGACATCCTCAGTTCTTCAACCATGGCACTACAGAAGGACCTCTAAGGAGGAACACAAGAAAACTGAATATTACAAAATGGATAAACTACAACTGCTCAGAAACAATATTAAAATCATTCTCAACAGACTTAACATAGCAGCCTTAAGGATGTGAGATATTTTTATATAGGTGATAACAAATTATTACATTTTTAATATACAACTCGAGATCATTAAAATGATCTATCCAATTGTGCTAGTTAAAAGAAAATCTCCACCTGATACTAAAATGAATTGCCAACTAGTAATGTACATGTTACTTATATATGGAATACGATTTTCTGCTCATACTGCATAAAAATTGATTAGCATAAGATAGAAATCTACATTAAAGTTTAAATACAAACATATACAAGCTTATACCAGAAACCCATTGTTGATATTTAAATTATAATAATAGGAGAAATGTACTACTTTTCAGATCATAAGAAATGTAAATTTTCTTAAAACAGTGATTCTTCATTGTACATTTCAAAAAGACAAAAATAGCATTCACACAATTAGACACACAAATATGAAAAATAATATTTGCTATTTCATTGCATCTTTTAGGTGATCATGCCTATAAAAACATTGACAGTGATTAGAAACAAATATGATTTAATTATGAAATGACAAATTGTAGCATGCTAAACATTTATGAACAAATATTAACTTTTTCTGTCATCATTAGTTTGATAACTGAGAACTGGTAAATAATTTAACCCATGAGAAAAAAGAAAGCCTATAAATATTTTGTTTTCTTAATTCTGATTTAATTGGCAATAAACTTACTAGAAATTTTGGGACTTGATACAGTTTTCTAAAAATTATATTACAGACGAATACACATGAAACAAAATGTTCTTCGTTTCTCTCCCCACCTGACTGACATACAGGTCTATCAGTTACATAGAAAAACTATAAGCAAACTGCATACTGTAGCTAAACTGAAATGGGCTGAGAGTTAGGCTGTTTCTGTTCAAGAACCAAGAATATGGACAATAACCAAACAGGTGGACAAATATGAAAAATATACACAATTCTAAGAAGCAGAATGAAAATATAATGAAGAAAACCTAATCAAAGATACATGTGAAAACTTATATCTTTTGTGATATTCAAAACAACACTTTGAATTAATTGGGTATCTATGTGTCAGACAAAAAACAAAAAAGCTGATTCAAAGAGAGGGTTAACAGCTTTCTGCAGCTCACACTGGAGCCAAGGTCTCCAGCAGAAAGGATATCCTGATCCCCACTTGTGATCCGCTTGTGTGCTTTCGGCACTCCCTACTACCTGCTTGTCCATCTGTGGCCATACCCTCATTTTTCTTTGATGATTCCTGAAAAACCTTCTGTAAGGATCTTTCTAAGTTTATCTTATTCTTGTTTTAAAAGCTCACAACTACCAGGATAATCTACTTTTTAAGTACTAATTATTAATAGCTTTCTCTTCTTTCAAAAACAGGTCCACTCCTGATCTAATTGCCCCTTCATAATTTCTCTGATAGAGCCCTCCCTGCCCTCCCACCCATTCTCTTTTCATCTCACATCTTTCTCTACGTACACTCTACAAACACCTTCCCTGTTCTTTTCCTTTGTGGCTCCTGGCTCTGGTATCTTGCTGAGTTCCTTCATCCCTCACCTCACTCCAACTTTATCCCTTACCTCAGGAGATGACTGGAGTTTTAACTTAATTAGGCAGTGCTTTCCAATTGATCAGGCCCAATGTTTTCACTTGGTTTAGTCTTAGCCCCTCAGTATTTTACTCATTCTTGTGTTTTTCTATGTGGCCTCTGGGTCCTCTATGTATCACTCTTGCTAAACCGCAAAGAGCAGAAAACAAGTTTTCATAGCGCTGCTGATCCACACACGTGTTTTGAATTAACGATAGCTACGTGTGACCCTAACATTTTATTCTTCTTTAACAATGTTTCTATTTCAATTGCTTTAAAAAATTTGTCAGGTCTAGAAATTTAGTGACTCATATTGTATACGAGTTATCTAATTATATCATCCAATACATTTGCATTTGTTTAATATATCAATGATATAGAAATTAATTGATTAGCACTTGTAATGAGTGATGATTAAATGCTGCTCGTGGATTTCCCATTAAGTACAGAGTCGCTGTCATATGTTATTGATTATGTGTTATACTATGCAGTTCTGAAATTCATGAATTGTATATCTAGTAAAGGATTTACGTGACACCTGTCAGCCAGTATATGGACACAGCGTTTCTTGTTGCTTAATACCTACTATTAGATGTACTTATTAAGAACATGATGATAATGATGATGAAGATGGTGATGATGACAACACTGTAGAAATGGAAAAATCTGACTCCACAAGGGGGAGGAATACATAGTCTTGAGGTAACTTAGTCTTGGCTCTCTGTTGAAACATTTAACAAAAGAATTAATTAGATAGTATAACAAGGTAAGAACTTGATCCCATTGACAACTTAAAAATGTTACAGGATGTGAATAACGTTGACTTGTTTAAAAAAACGGGTTCATCTAAAACCAGTAAGTTTCCTAAATGTTAGGTAAGTAATAACACATTCTTCTTGGCAGTCTTGATTTTCAGACCACTTGATTATATTCATTTTAAAACAGAACAGAATAAAAATATTAATTAATGTTTATCTGTACTGAGACAAGAATAGATCAAATTATTTTCTTAGGAAAAAAATCTTTATTATGTGCATATATTCAGATATGAAATGACCCAATTTTATATCTAGAAACTTGAGTAAGCTCTGAAGTTAGTATTATATTCATACTTCAGTCTATCTATAGGGCAAGTAAGGAATATTTAATTTAATATGATATTAAATTTATAATGTTAACTAATATAAAATATAAGTTAAAACTGTTCCAATAAGACTATAAAAATTTTGTCTTTAATAATTTGAAATTATCTTAAGTACATTTTTTTATAAATTACAAACTATCTTAAAATTATGAAGCTGTAACCTCACCATTATCATTTTAGGCTTTATGTATTTAACAAGGTAATTGAAAAGTAAAAAATTTTCTTACACAAATTTTAATCAATCAATTGATAGTCTCAATTATACAATGTCAAAAGAACAATTGTACTAATTTTCTCTCTAAATGAGCTTAATCTTGCCAGTTCTTTTTTGATCTGTCCAAGTAAGCGTATCTGAAAAACAGTTTTATTTTTTGATACTAACAAAGTCACTGTGAGACGGTAGATTGTCTTCTCACAGAATATTTCTAAACCATCTTAAAATTAAATAACTTACAGATTTAAGCAAGAGTTTGTAATCAACACAGAAAATTCAAGGAATTTAAGTACTGCTTAATTTTAATTTAAGTCATTAAGAACTGTTCACCTGTGGTATTAGAAAAAACACATAGTATTTACTTATAAATATTTATTTCAGAGCTCTAGAATGTAAATTCCATACCATGATCTATGTAAGCAACTAAAATTGATACTGTACAGAGTGTTGTGGAAAAGAATTGTTTCTCATGTGGTACGTTGCCAAAAATTTACTTAGTTTTAATAAAATTCAAACTTAATCAGTAGACAGAAATTGTCTTTCCTATTTTCTATAGTAAATTAAATTGATTTTAATTTTTTTGAACTCTGAAGTGAGTCTGAAAAACTCAAGTGCGTTCCACAGGTGTCTCCCACCTTATATTAAAAGGAGGAGGAGCAGAAGGTAAGAGGAGAAGGATAAAAAGAGGAGAAAGAGAAACAAGAAAAGAATGAGAAGGAAGAAGAGGAGGAGAAGAAAGAATAAAAGAAAGAAATGAGGTGAGGAAAGGAGAGGACAGAGAGGGAAGAGAAGGAAAGCTATCTTGGTTTTTAAATCACGTCTTTCGGAGTGGAAAGCCATCTATTATTAAATAAGGTAAGTTCCTCAGGGTGAAAACAACAACAAAAATGTTTCTCCACATTAATAAAACAGACTACAAAAAGAAAAAAGGAAAGGCACAAGGATACTAACCATTATTAAAAACCTCTTTAAGTAAGTTTCAAAAGTTTACTAAACAGTGTCTGGATGGTATGGTGGCACTAACCAAATAGAAGATTCCTGAAAATGAAAATTTAAATCTTTGAGCTGTTAGCATGGATAATTGCATTTAAATTAGTAACACTCTTCATAAAATTCACTATATTTAACGAGGCAACCTGTATTAACATATCTCTAACTCTTTAAACAACCTAGGTCTGGAAACCTTAAAAGTATGAACTTGGCCAAAATAAGTACGTTGTCTTTTTTATTTTTTATAGCTCTATGTTGTATTTTGAATATAATCAGAAAACACGTACATAGTCCACAGATAAATGTTTTTGAAAATATCATCATGGTGTTATGGAATAATTTATTCATAATTATTTAAATTTCAGATTTTAAATTTCATATAGTAACAATGATATGACTTTTTTTAGTATTAAAAATCTAATTGTAACCATGCTACACATGTAACACTGACATATTTAAACTCATTTTTATGTCAAACCCACTATATTTTTAAATGACTTTTAAAAAGATAGTAACTGAAGAAAAATAACCAGTGTCGTATTTTTAACTGTTAAGCTTATCAGTCTCATGTAGAACATATGTAAAAAATAATTTTAAGATATCGTGTTACTGTCCAGATTACATTTAGTATTTATTTTTAATGAGGAAACTTTTGTGTATCTTATTGTCCTATTCTTTTACAGTATAAAATTAGCTAAATGGTATTCCACTATTCAGAATAATTTCCAGTGTGTTTTTGCATACAATTCCTATTCGAATCCCTAACAAAATATATCTAAGCTACTTCTAGTAGATATTGTAGCTTGATACTCCATTATGTATTAACTATATCAACCAAACTGTATTCTTTCATGTTTGCTATTTCAATTATTTGCTCATTTACTAGGGATACATAATTCATTTTTAGACACTTTATAATTTTAGACACTATGGACCATTTGCAAAGAATTATAAATCGTATTTAGCAGGTACAAGTCAAAATAGTAACTGTGATTAA